AGATTAAAGTGTCGTGTGCGAAACAAATATCTGCAAACGGAACAAGTAGTAACTATTGGAATATCAGATTTGTAAATTAAAATATATGATCAGCAAAGGTAAAGATGATTTAAACTCCAAACTTTAAACATAATGTCCTGAAGATACCATATTGTGATAGATCAGGAGAAAACAATACAGTCCGATTGTGCTTATCTCAAATCTGTTTCTGTTGAGATCCTGCTTCCACATAAGTTTAAACAAGAAATGTAACATTTTATGCTGATGCTGACAAACTCTGGACACTCGGATAATTTTTTAATGTCGCTGACAATATTAAAAGCTTATGTCATTTATCACTTCTATTGACACCCAAACAAGATGAACAAACTCCTCGACTATTTTAATTTTTGCTTTAAATTTGCAGAAGTTAAAATTGACAACATTTAAATGGTTCACAAATTGTGGATATAAATGAATGGTATTGTCTTTTAATTACTTTATATGTACCAATAATAATCACTGTTATTGATAAATACAGTATGATTCTGGAATACTGCATGAAGGGTGTTGAGGTGAATATTCTGTCCAATAGTGTGATCCAGTCCTAACAATGCCCCATATCCCATACAAAATGTTCAGGTGTAACTGTTTAGTGTATGACACATTGCCCCATACTTGAGCCGATTGCTTCTTTTTCTCATTTGTACCTTTTGGCGTCTTCCGCGCTCCTTACCTTTGTGCACTCAATCACGATGTACTTCACTTCTCCCTTCTAGGGTGCTTCTATTCTCACTTCCAATAATATGAAATTACACAGGAGCAAGCCTAACGAGAAAAGTTGTGCTGAATTTTGATATTTTAGTTGTGTCATTTTTGTTGGGTTTCATGGAGGGTTTCTGTCCACATGGCCTGCCTCATTGACAACCTAACCTGCCCAACTTGTCCAAGCCCTATTCTCCTGCTCACCGAGGCCAGAAGTGCTTGGAATAGTCTGACATCCCTGGCATCAAAACCATAAGGTGTTGTGTATCCAAACAAGCTCTGTCAGTGTGGAATTAGCCTGCATGGTTTATAACTTGGAGAGTAAGGGGGATTTGGCAGTCTAGTTAACAGACAGGGTGCTGGTGGATGAGATGGTTCCGATGAGGGATGTCCTTTTCACCCTGGACTGGCAGAGGAGGCTTCAACACCAGATTCTTCTAACCTGGTCCAAGGTTGTCACCTGGGTCTTGATCTTCAGAACTAATGCCTGTCTGTGAAGAAATTAGGTTAACTGCCTTCTCTGCTCTGCCAGTCTACTTGCTACTGTCTTCTCCCAGCTACTTCACATTCCCTCTGTCTCTGCTAATACACTCACTTCCCATCAAGGCTAATGTTCTTCCACACACATGATTCCATGCAACATTTCCTTTGCTCACTCTCAACCACCACAAAACCTCACCACATTAAATCCCCATACCCTGTGTCACATTCTCACTCCGTCAAGACACCTTCCCACCCTTCTTACGCCTGCCGTTCTCCCTCCACTTTCATCTCATTCAATTCTTCTCTTTCTCTCATTACAGGAGAAAACAGCCCACAAAGGGCAGAAAGAGCCAAGACGGGTAGTGGAGTGCCCGACGTTCAGCTATCACTAGCTATGAGGAGACGATCCTGAATCTGGCTGTCCCAAACAGCTGATCAACCAAATCCACGTTTCTGGGTTGATATCAGAGGCTGCCCCTGACTTGCTGTGCTCCCTGAGTGAAGAGTGTCTTCTTTGATGTGACTGACCATTACTCCCCTTACACATTGAGACATCAGACTACTTTTTATTCATTCCTGGGATATGGCAGACTGCCAAAGTCAGCATGTATTGCCTCTACCTGGTTATTCAGAGGGTAGTTAAGAGTAAAGTTAAAGTTCACTATAGGTCACATGTAGGCCAGACAAGGTAAGAGCAGAAGATTGTCTTCCCTAGAGATCATTTGTGAACCAGATGGGTTTTTCTGACAATCGACAATGGTTTCATGGTCATCGTTAGACTGTTAATTCCAGATTGTTATTGAATTCAAATTTTACCATCTGCCATGACAAGATTTGAACCTGGGTCTCTGTATTAATAGTTTAGCTATAATACCACTTGGCTGTCGCCTCCAGAGTAGGCTATTTGGCCGGTCGAATCTGCTCTGCTATTCAATGAGATCATGGCAGATCTGGTAATCCTCAACTTCGTTTTCCTACTTTTCCCCAGAAAGCTTGATTCTCTGATAGACTAATTTGAAATCAGTCTTGACATACTTAATGTTACAGCCTCTACAGCCTTCTGTGGGAACAAATTTCATTGAATCATTTTTCTCAGAAAAAAAAATCCTCCTCATCTCTGTCCCAACTGGGTGACCCCTTATTCTGAAATCATGTACTCTGTTCCTCAAATCTTCCGCAGAGGAAACACTTTCTCTGCCATCTATTCTATTAAGGTCCCTCAGAATCTTAAATGTTTCAAAATGTTGCGTGTCATTTTTCTAAACTCCAATGAGTAAGGCTCAACCTTTTATCTTAAGACAATCCAGGCATACCTGGGATCAACCAGTGAACCTTCTTCAGACTGCCTTCTACTTCAGTGGTCTGATTAATACCTTGCATAGTTTTAGCAGGACCTACCTATTTTATACTCCATTCACTTTGAAATAAAAAGCAACATTCCATTTATCTTCCTATTACCCACTGAACTTGGATGCTAGCTTTTTGAGATTTATGGATGATGACTCCTAAATTCCTCAGATATGTAGATTTTTGGAGTCTTTCTCCATTTAAATAATATTCAGCTCCTTTCTTCTTTCTGCCAGTGTGCATAACCTCACATTTTTCCATGTTAAATTCCATCTGCCAAGTTTTTGCTAGGCATACTAACTAAGCCCTTTTATATCTCTGTATAGACTCTGTGTCATCCTCGCTGTGTATTTTTGTGTCATTTACAAACTTGGCTGTAGTATACTTACTTCAGTCATCTAAGTCATGAATATACACTGTAAATAATAGTGATAGCAGCACTGATCCCTCTGGCATTCCACGAGTTACAAGTTGCCATCCTGAAAGTGTCCCTCCATCTCAATCTTCTATATAACAAAGCTTCCCCACCAGACTTTATTTCTGCCCTAGAGACAGTAAAGACTGCAGATGTTGGAAGCCAGAGTCAATAGATGTGGAGCTGGAAAAGCACAGCAGGTCAGGCAGCATCAGACGAGCAGGAAAGTCGATGTTTCGGGCCAATTCTGCCCTGTCCTTTTGAAAAGTCACATACTGCTGAATATTTAGTTTGCAGATTTGATCTCCTTGTAACCCTGACTGCAATTTTCTGATCATACCCATTTACCTCTATTTGTATTGTTAATTAATTTATTTTGCTCCAAATACTACATACATTTAAGTAAGGATCCATTCATTTTGCCTTTTTACCACTCATTTTTCCTTTTTACCACTCATTTTGCCTTTTTACCATACATTATGGGGATTAGATGGCCTGGTGATGTTATAGCTTGACTGTCGATCTGGGACATACATTCAATTCCCACCACGGCTGGGATGGTGGAATTTAAATTCACTGTAAATCTTGAATTATGAGTCTAATGATGACCACGTAACCTTTGTTGATTGCTGATTATTGGAAAAACCACTCTGGTTCACTAATGTCCTTTTGTGGGGGAAATGTGCCATCCTTACCTGGTCTGGCCTACACATGACTTCAGACCACAGCATTGTGGTTGACTCTGAAATGCCCTCACAAATTGCCGAGGAATCTACTCAGTTTTAACAATCATCATTAAAAATACAACAAAAGAAATGAAACTACGTAGACCATCGGGCATTGACCAAGGTACCAGAAACACAACAACAAAAGCAGGCCTGTTAGCCCTGCAAAATCCTCCGTACTCATTTCTGGGGGCTATTGTGGAGCTGTCTCACAGTCTAGTCAAGCAACAACTTGACATAATGATATGTACAGAATCATATGTTATAGGCAATGTCCCAGAGACCACTCACACCATCCCTGGGTAAGTGCTGCTCCACTGTCAGAACTGGCCCAGCAGAGTTGGCAGTACAGTGGTCAGGGGAGGGTTGCTCTAGGAGTGCTCAACATTGACTATGGATACCACAATGTAAGTGGGCACCAGGTCCAAAATGGGCAAGGAAACCTCCTGCTGATTACCATATCATACCCTCCAACTCTACACCCACCCCACCTTCTTGCCCCCACTGATGACCCAGTGCTCTTCCGTATTGAGCACAACCTGGAGGAAGTTCTGAAGCACTGAGGGTGGTAAGGACACAGAACATATTCAGGTTGGAGAACTTCAATGCTCAGCAGCAGCACTACTGGTCAAGATGGTTGAGTTGGAAAAGGACGTTGCCGCTAGACTGGGTCTGCAGTCTTTAAATATCAAATCCTCAATGATGGGTGTGCCTGTCACATCAGTGCAAAAGATAAGACTGAAGGATTTGCACCACCTTCAGCCAGAAGTGCTAAGCCAATGATCCATCTCTACCTCCTCCAGTGATCCCCAGCATTGCAGATAACAGGCTTTAGCCAGTTTGATTCCCTTCAAATGATATCAAGAAATGGTTGGTGGCACTAGATACTGCAGAGGCGACGGATCATGGCAACGTTCTGCCAATAGTACTGAAGACTTGTACTCCTGAGCCTGCCACACCTATGCTAAGTTGTTCCAGTACAGCTACAACACCGCCATCTACGTAAAAATGTGGAAAATTCCCTAGGTAGAACCAGTACAACAACAGCAGTACAAATCCAACCGAGCCAACTGATGCTGCCTGGCCTGCTCTGTGCCTCCAGCTCCACACTGTGTTATCAATAGCCAATTACTGTGCTGTCAGTCTACTCTCGATCATGAGTGAAGTGTTTACTATATCCTGAAACGTCTGTTCATCAACTTTCCAACTCCTTTGTCAATGCAAAACCAACATAAGCCCGTATCCCTGGTTAGTAAAATGCAATAAACTTGTAACCTCTTCTGTCATTGGAGAAAGCTTGCAATAGTTGTCAGCAAGCCATAGTCACATCAGTGAGATAGCCTTCGCTCAGGTTATTCCAGCACTGTAAGTCCACAGCAGCCTCTGACACCAGTCCAGGGCCTGCTCAGGGCAATCAGAATCTGGATCCTATCCTCATAAGGGTGAAGAGCTGAACAACAGACAGGACACCACTCACTTTGACATTTTCTGCCTTCTTTTGGCTGTTTTCCTCATGAAATGGGAGAAATGCAGGTTTACAGGAGACAAAAATGGATAGTACAGATTGGTGTCCCAAGCAAATGAGTAGGCAGCACGGAGGGCTTGCAGGGTTAATGATGTCAGGGGTTGGAGTGGGTGAGGGTGAGTTGGAAAAACGTTGCAGTAATAGTGGGAGCATGAGCCTTGATAGGAGTTGGCAACAGTAGGAGAAATAGAATGAATGTGAGTTATCAGAAAGAAGATGGAGTAGAATGGACAAGGAAAATTGGCCTTGTTTCTACAGTGGTTGACATTCCTCCAGATGGTTGAGACTGCTTTAACCCAGACTTCCACAGTCTGGTGCTGTAATCCCAACTGCTGGCCCTGGGGGAGGTTACCCATCTAGCAGGGCTCCAGGATCCTGCTCACAAATCGGGTCACTGAATTTCCCCAGTCTGCTATGTCCGGAGTAAATGTCGGGAACTGTGGAGTGCAGCTCCAGACAGTGCTTGTCCAGGTGTGCAACATGCTTTTAAAGATGTTGTAAAGGAAGTTGCTGAATTCTGAGATATCTAGTGAATGGCAAATGGTAAGATGGGGTGGAAATCAGTCATGAAAGAGACCATTGACACAGGGTGGGTAATTAATGAAGTGTGTGTGTTAACATAATGGGAGAGAACGCTCTACACTTGCAGTGAGAAACTCTTCCAAAAAATGCAATGCAACTCTGACTTCACAAAAAAAGAAGATTCAGCTCAAAGTATTAAAGCTTCGAACAGTTTGAGCTGTAGTACTTTTGTAGTGGGAAGTAAGGAGTTTTGTGGCTGTATAACATTCCAATATTTTCTTGTGTATCACTGAAACCTTAGTTTACTTTCATGTATGTCAATGTCCTGTACAAGTAGAAATGGAACTTTAACATTTTATATAGAGATTTAATTGAGTCCGATTACATTGTAGATTTTACAATATATCAAATTCCAATTATTCTTGCTGCAAGAATTTAGCTGCTTCAAGTACTCTGCACAATAATAATTATAACAGATGTCTTTCTGAAGTGTCACCCTCACTTGTCCTCCATTTGACAGCTTTCATCTGCACAACTTTTCATTCTGGAGTCACACAGCCTGGTATTACAATGGGGTCACACTAGGAAATGGTTGTGAAATGCTGATCTGTGTTACAAATAATACGCTATATAATTGACTGCTGTTTAAATTACAGGTAATCTCCTTCCTGTTGTTCCTGTCTGGCTCATGTCATTGCTGTTGCTATTCGGGTTCTAACCATAGCCATTTCTGCCATGATTTTTTGGGCTGTGAAACAATATCCACACATGAAAAGTACATTCTCAGTGAAACAGTGAGAATCTACATAGATGCAGGCCTGAATTCCCCTGGGGTTTTCCCAGTCTCCTGCTGTAAATGCAGAGAAAGTCTGGAGGACCCCTTATAGCTTATAAACTGTGATTCAAAGCAGGGGATGAGGCAGTCTGTGTTGATCTTCCAATTTGAAATTAGGCTTGAAGTCATAAGAAACCTGTGGAAATTCAGGATGCCAGGATAATGCCAGAAAAAATGTGGATGCTAAGCATGGTGGCTATTACATGCTGTCCCACAAATTAATTCCCAAATACACAATGCAGATGACTGCAGAGCTTGTTGTGGTAGGGTTGGGGAGGCAAGGCCCTGAGTATGGAGAACTTTTGACCAAGAGGTCCTGGTGGTGGTGGGAATCGAGAGATACAGCACCTGGGGTTAGAGATTGGACACTGGAAGCTTAATTAGGAAAGGGGGGGCAAGTGATAAACGTGTTTTGCCTCCCCTGAGCCCCCAACCTTCATTCAAAGACCAAACAAAGTAATCTGCTGTGCTTTGCCTCCATAGCCCTGCTCTCCATCTGGCTGGCCTTAGTTGAGGTGAAGGTACCAGGCCTTGCCCACACCTTGTAAAATCAACAATGGGTCAAGGGGAGGGCAACAGAAATGCCAACTGGTTAATATGACAGCAGCTAATACCCCAACACCCCCATCCAAATGTAAACCTACCTCTGAAGAAGGGTCCAGACCCAAAACGTCAGCTTTCCTGCTCCTCTGATGCTGCTTGGCCTGCTGTGTTCATCCAGCTCTACACCTTGTTATCTCAGATTCTCCAGCATCGGCAGTTCCTACTATCCCTACCAGTGGGGCCCTGTTAAATTCTTCCCCGGTTTTATTTCAATACTGTCTGCTTGGGCTGGGGGTGGTGGCGGGAGTTGGACCTCAAGGTGAATAACAAAGGAATAGTTGTGATGACCAATTGTCTGCTGAGTAGAAAACTCTCCTGAATTTGTGATAAACCTTTCACGGTTATGTTGTCTATTCGATAACCAGTGAGGATGTGAAACAAGAATACTTTGCATTACTTTCTGAATTGTTTTTTATGGTTGTCTTTGTATCAAGAGGATAAGCTGGTTGTTAGCCTCCAATTGGCATCAGGAACTCCCTGAAGTTACAGATAGTAAATCTTGAGAAGCTTTGGAATTGGTGCTCTGGAATATTTACTCATTTAAGAACTCCAGTCACATCCCTCATTAATTTCAGTGGAAAAGAATATCGAGAGTGACAGAGACTGCTGGATCACTGTTTGCCATTTAAATCTCTCTCCCAAGATGAGTTTCATCACCAGAATTTTAAGTGTGATCAAATAAACTGCACTTGTTTCCTCTTTTCAGTTATTTATCTCAAGATAAGTTCAACATTGATTCTCATTAATGATAACTACATTTAAATTTGATACTTGGGTAACAGTAATTATGCCCAAATCTTTCACTTGTCAATTTTGACAAGTATACTTTGATCTACTCATGTAAACAAATCCAAAATTATGCAAACAATTGTAAATTAACATCTATTCAAGTTTCCCGCTGCTGAGTACTCTTCCTGGCAATGATCAATGTTAAAATCAGTTGAACTTTGATAGTGAATTGTCTGACACTATATTCTGCATATTGTTGATGCAAAGCAATGTGATAACATAAAATGCTGTAGGCATAGTTTCTGAATAGGCAATTAAGAATGACCCCTCATTGATGGCTAGCACGAGGGGACATAGCTTTAAATTGAGGGGTGATAGATATAAGACAGATGTCAGAGGTAGGTTCTTTACTCAGAGAGTAGTAAGGGCGTGGAATGCCCTGCCTGCAAAAATAGTAGACTCGCCCACTTTAAGGGCATTTAAATGGTCATTGGATAAACATATGGATGATAATGGAATAGTTTAGGTTAGATGGGCTTCCGATTGGTTTCACAGGTCGGCGCAACATCGAGGGCCGAAGGGCCTGTACTGCGCTGTAATGTTCTATGTTCTATGTTCTATAATTCTGACTATTATTATTGTCTTATTTCTTTTATTTTATTCATCCTTCCTATCTCTGAAGCTTCCCAAACTATCAACAAACAGCTCATTATTTTCCAGTTCAATACAATACAGCACAAGAACAGGCCCTGCAGGCCACCAAGCTTGTGCTGATTCCTAATATTTATTTAGACCTGCTACTTATTACCCATACACAGTTTCTATCCCTCTGTTTGCCTCCTATTCATGTGTCTCAAGATACAGCTGAAACGTTCCTGCTTCCACCACCTCCGCTGGCAGTGCTTCAGCCACCCACCAGTCTCTGTGTGAAAAATTTTCCCTGCACTTCTCCCCTAAACTTTCTCTGTCACCTTGAACCTGTGCCTTCTTGTAGTTGACATTTCCACCCTGGGAAAAAGCCTCCGACTGTCCACCCTATCTACACCTCTCACAATTTTGTAGATTCCTAACAGTTCGCCCCTCAGCCTTCGTCTTTCCAGTGAAACTAATCGCACTTTATCCAACCTCTCCTAATAACTAAAACCCTCTGTACCCTCTCCAAAGCATCAGCATCCTTTTGTGTGGCGACCAGAACTGCAAGCGATATTCCAAATGTGGCCGAACTAAAGTTTTATATAGCTGTAATATAACTTTCCAATTTTTATATTCAAATGTCAAGCCGACGAAGGCATGTATGGTGTATGCCTTCTTGACCGCCTTATCCACCTGCGTTGCCGCTTTCAGGGATCTGTGGACCTGTACGCCCAGATCCCTCGGTATGTCCATGCTCCTAAGTTTTCTGCCATTTATTGTATAATTTGTACCTGAATTTGACCTTCCAAAATGCATCACCCCACACATCCATCCGATTAAACTCCATCTGCTATTTCTTTGCCCAAATCTGCAATCATAGAATCCCTACTGTGTGGAAAAAGGCCCTTTAGCCCAAAAAGTCCACACTGAACCTCAGAGCATCCCACCCAGATCCACCCCCCTGTAACCCCTCCTAATCCACACATCCCTGAACACTATGGGACAATTTAGCATGGCCAATCCACCTAACCTGCACATCTTTGGACTGTGGGAGGAAACCGGAGCGAACCCACGCAGACACGGGGAGAATGTGCAATCTCCAACAGACAGTCACCCGAGGGTGGAATCAAACCCAGGTCCTTGGTGCTGTGAGGCAGCAGTGCTAACCACTGAGCTACCGTGCCACCCTAAATCTTTCTATATCCCGCTGTATCCTTTGACAATCTTCCTCACTATCTGTAACTCTGTCAATTTTGGTATGGTCTGCAAACTTACTAATCAGACCACCTACATTTTTCTCCAGATCATTTATATATGCACATACACACACATAAGGTTCCAGCACTGATCCCTGCGGAACACCACTAGTTACTGATCTCCATTCTGAAAAGCACCCTTCCACCGCTACTCTCTGTCTTCTATGACCAAGCCAGTTCTGTATCTATCCTGCCAGCAGACCCTGGATTCCATTGACTCTACCTTTTCTACCATCCTGCAGTGAGGTACCTTATCAAAGCCTTACTAAAGTGTATGTAGACAACACCCACTGCCCTTGCCTCATCAATCATTCATTCATTTTGCTGCTTATTTCATTATTGATTTCAACGTTGATCACATCTGCTCCATTGATCTGACTCTTTGGATCTGTAATTTATCTATGGTCTTTACCTCTTGAAATTAATCTAGATGATTCATGTTTTACAACTGCCATTTCCCAGTACTCCATAACATCTACTGAATTATTGTGGAAATGACTTGTCTGGTGTTTCTATCAAGAGAGATAATGACACAAAAGGCACTGTCACTGGGTGAATACTGGAGAGGCCCAAGTTAATGGTCTTAGGCAATGGTTTCAAATGGCCCCATGACAACTGGTAGAATTTAAATTAAATTAATAAAAAATACCTGGAATTGTCCGAGATGGCCACGAATTGTTGTAAAAACAATTTTGTTCATTAATGCTTTTCAGGGCATGAAATTTCCCCCCCTAACCTGGTCTGGCCTACATGTAAGTCCAGACCCAAACCAATGTGGTTGATTCATTACTCTCCTCTCCACTCAGTTCAAGGGGCAATTTGGCATCGACAGCAAATGCTGGCCTTGCCAATGACACCATTGACCCATGAAAGAATTTCACTTCAAGAGAAGGAATTAAATTCTCTAAGTATCATTACTCAGTTAATTCACACCGTGCCCCGTTTTCCTGTCCTCTGTATTTGGTGTAAACCTATTAACTCTCTATTTTTCCAGCTTTGATAAAATGGCATTAACCTGCCACCTGACTTGCTGATAATTCCAGCAGTTTGTGTTTTTATTTCAGATTGCCAGCATCTGCAAAATTTTACTGTTGATTAACAAAGTAATGGTTTCTAAAGTCGTAAACAATGTCCACCTTGTATTTTTTCTTTCAGAACTAGAACTTTGGAAATTCATCGTAGAACATGGTAAGAGAAATATTACAAAGAATGTTTGTTTTGGAGTAAATGTGAATTACATTCACATTTTTCTGTTGGGATCAGTTAATTCTACACATTGACATGGCCATGCTTTAAACTAAAGGCTGAATAAACTGATCTCCTTAAAAATCTTAAAACACATTTCATTGTATGAGGATAATAGAATAATGTTCAATATTTGATTTAAATAAATTGGCTAAATTTTTCCAAGATCTTGTGCTGCCTCAAGGGCCTCTGAAACAGCAAATTGTAGGTGACTCCAGTTGAGCTCAAAAATGGCTATTGTTCACTGTTCTCACTGTTGTGATTTGCAGAGAATTAATTCACTCCAATCACTCTGACTTACAGTGGTAATATAATTTGTGCCCACTTGTAGGCACTTTATGCTGTACACCTGCTGGAAGCTAGATTGGATTTGACCAAGGTTGTTTTATTTGGAAACATGTTACCCAACAGAGATTGGAGTCTTGACCCATGAATCTAGCTGGAGATCACACCCAGATCTTAGATTTAGAAGTATCATCCCTTGTTACAATTGGGCAGATCTTATGACAGGCTATCATAGAATTTAATGAGAAAGGGCTCCTGTGGCACAGTCGTAGTGTCCCTGCCTCTGAGTTAGGAGACTGTAATCAAGTATCACCTGCTCCAGAGGTGTGTAATAACATCTCTGATCAAGTTGATTAGAAAATATTACAAATTTAATTGTTGTATGCCTTCTGATGAAAACCACTTCACAGCTGCATTCCAGAACTACCTCAAAATATTTTTTCTAATGTTCACTGAGTTAAAGAGAAACAACTTATTTATGTACAAAAACAAAGTTGCTGGAAAAGCTCAGCAAGTTTGGCAGCATCTGTGGAGGAGAAAACAGAATTAACGTTTCGGGTCCGGTGACCCTTCCTCAGAACTTATTTATGTAGCCTCTTTTCTGTAGTCATTACATTCCCAAGCACTTTATATGTGTAGAAATGTGAGAAACAATTTGTCCATGACAATGTCTGGCAAAGAGTCATGGGATAAATGACAAATTAAAATATTTTTAATGGTGTTCACTGACAGATAAATAACTATTGACCAGAGCACCAAGCCAACTCGCCTGCTATACTTCACTTTATGCCATACTATTCACCATTTCACTTGAACGGTTTGATGGAACCTCAGCATAACATCTCACCTGAACACACAAAAGGAAAGCATTGATTTTGTAGACACCACAACATTTAAATTGACACAACCACAATCACAAGTTAGTGACAAAGACTAACTTTAAAATAAAGGACACAGTTCTACATACGAAGCCATGACTCTGATCACACCTTCTAGATTAGTAAACTCACAACTAAAGCATTTTCATCATATATTTACAAAGCAGAATTTTTTTCACCAATATGCATTAACCTTTTTACTGCTTCATAGGTCTAAATGTCAGATTTAGAATAGAATAGCATTTCTACACTGTGCACATTGACCCTCTGAAGAGCATCGCATCCAGACCCACCCCTGCATATTCCATGGCTAACCCACCTGGCTTCCACATCCCTGGACACTGTGGGCAATTGAGCATGGCCAATCCACCTAATCTGCAAATCTTTGGACTGTGTGAGGAAAATGGAGCACCCAGAGAAAACCCACACAGACATGGGGAGAATGTGCAGGCACCACACAGACAGTCACCTGAGGCTGGAATCAAACCTGGGTCCCTGGCGCTGTGATGCAGCAGTGCTAACCACTGAACCACATGCCTTCCCAACCACTGAGCTACCATGCTGCCCCGAGCCACCGTGCTGCTGTTAAATTTAAATTTAACAATTGATACAGTGTTCATTATAATAGCATCCACTGAATAATTCCCATACAGAAGGTCGTGAACATATACAGTCTTAGAGATTTCAAATGCATTTGCTAATAATTAATTAGTTCATGATTTCAAATTTCCCTTGCTCCCAGTTAGCTGAGTTTTCCTTTGTTGACAGGTTAAAACAGTTCCCTGTCTCTACTGTGACACACAACTTGTCTCTCTAACCCACACACCTTGCAAATTTCCTGTCCTGTCCCGCTGTTTGTAGTCTGCTCTGTCTCTCTTCACGATTCTACACAAACACTGTCTCTCCCCTACTGCTTCCAGCTGCTATCTTTCTCCCATTCTATTGCAGCCACGTCTCCTGTGTATTTTGATCCCTCAATACTTCAATGAAGTTTCAGCCCAAATTTTGTACTTTAGTTCTAGAGTGGGGATTAATGCCGAATCTTTTTATTTGCGCAGATTGCAGATAATATTCTATTCTGCTGTTGAAGACTGGGCCCAATATGTGGAAAGAATGCAATATTTTTTCCCAGGCAAATGACATTGGGGCAGACGAAAAGCAACACGTAATCCTTCTGACTGCTTGTGGACCCACAGCATCTTCGGTTTGAAGGGGCTTAACTTTCCCAGACGCACCAGACATTAAAGCCTTCCAAGCATTGACAGAGTTGGTTCAGGAATATTACAACCCCAAAACCTCCGCTATCAGTTTTATTCAGCTGTTTGAGAACTGTAGAATCCATATCGGGACTTTTGATGAGGTTAAAACAACTGGCAGAGGCACGTAATTTTAGGTTAACCTTAAATGAAATGCTGAGAGACCATGTGTATGTGGGATTAATGATATAACCATTGCAAAGGCGCCTACTAGCTGAAGCCCAAATGGACTTCAAACAGGCGATATAACTGGCTCTGTCATTTGAAAATGCGACAAGTGGAACATGGGAGCTACAGGGCATCCCAAATGGAAGTGAACACCCTCACCTGTCTGACTGAGCTTGCAGAACACCGCTTGAGTGTAGGCAACCACAGAACCCCACTCTGGGCATGTCCTAAGCAGAGGGACCCAAGGCCAGCCCACAGCAGAATCCCACAACAAAGCCGAGCCTGGCCAAGTGGCTAAAAAGTTCTTCAGGATCTGGGCCAGCAAGCCATTGTAGTTGCTGCCAGTATGTAGACTCGAGACAGCAAAGGAGTCCTACAAGGCCTGACTTGCGTAAGAATACTTGTAGGCCAGTATCCAGGACAGTGCTTGCCCTGGAAAGTCCACCTACATGTGGGTTGGAACAGTTAAATTGCTTAGCAACATCCAATTAAAATTAATATTTGGTTAAATGGTCACCCAGTTCTCATGGAGGTTTTTACTGGTGCAGCTATATCTGCGGTTGCAGAATCTGTCTTTAACAAAATTCACTCTGGACTCCAAACCTGATGTTTGCGCAAGCTGTCAGCCAGACTGAGAACATACACTGGGAACCCGTTGCAGATTAAGGGTACGACTTCAGTTCTCGTATGAGAAGCAGTTGGTGCAGTTACCACTGATGGTGGTAAGAGGTTCAGGCCCAAGCTTATTGGGGCAGAATAGAATGAGTCAAGCTTCCCAAATAAAGGCATGATGCCAGAAATGCTTACCCCACCTCAAAGATGACAGTTGCGAGCAAATATTCTTGAGGCATGTATTGCAGCAAACCAGAAATAAGTCCCTGAACTGAAGAGATTCTGAATCCCCTTTTTATATTGGCCAGCCAGGGCTTCCTGATTGGCCCAGGTTAATGACCTGAATCAAGGATCTCCTAGTCAATGAGATATACCTGGTTCTAATCACTACAATTTCCATAAATATATCTCCCCTTTGAAACTCAGAATAAAAAAACCTATGGCCACAAATTAGGAGCATGAGGAAGCCTTTCAGTGCTTCAAGCCTGATTTGTCATTCAGTAAGATCATGGCTAATTTGATTGTAACCTCAACATCACTCTCCCACCCCAATTCCCTCACCCTCTTGTTAGCCAAGAATGACCTAACTCTGTCTTAAAAATATTCAATGAGACTGCCTCTATCACTCTCTGGAAAAAGAGTTCAAAAGACTTATGACCCTTTAAAGGAAAATCATTTCTCTTCGTCTCCATCTTAAATGGAAGATCCCTTATTTTTAAACCCCAAGTTCTACTTTCTGTGTACTAGGTCAGCAGTTCAATTTCCCAGACCAGCCACTTGTATTAATTCCAAATCAAAATGTCAACTTGCTGACAATTCATTCTGAAGTTCCTCTAATGGCTAAGACCTCAATTTTCATTTCTGAGTCACGAATGCAGAGCCAGAAAAGTGCCTGACTCCGCAAGCCTATTCAGGTGAAAGTGCCCAGATGGTATAATTTTCATTCCTTGCGGGGATGGGGCTGCGGGCGGGCATGTTATCCACTAACGGCTGGATAGAGAGCCACAATGATTACTAGGAGCAGAGGCAGGCTGTGTGGAAGCTCAGCCTTGTAATCCGGCATGTTGTCCCAACTGTTAAAGAATACAAGAAAATAACAGACAGCTTTCTAGCTTTCACCTTCTTACTCATTGCCGTTCTGAGACACACACACCCCTTGTCCCATCCATGCCACCTTATACTACATTGCATCTCCCATCCAGATTGCATAGCCCCTCATTTCCCCACTAACTCTCCATCACTGTTCATATCCACTGTGTCAAGCTCTGCCCTGTGATCATATCAGTGGCAACTTGCAATTCCCACCATGTCAGTCTATGTCTGTTTTCCCAGAGTCGAGGGTACTTATACTCACCATTCAAAGCTGTCTCTCTCCATAGCACTCACATAGTGTCTCATATCCTCTATGCCAACTTATGTCTCTCTAACCCACCTACTATGACTCTTTATATGCCCTATGCCAACTTCGAGTCAATGCATGGCCCCATTCACAAAGTTTTTGCCTTACATCCCCGATTCACACACACCTAATATATGCCATGGGCAAATCTCAGGATCCACAGTGAAACAAAATATATTTCTAAATGTCTACTGATGATTTCACCATATTTTTCGTACAGCTCTCATTAACTTAAAAAGCGCAATATTTAGCCTCCTTCAGCTACTTAATCCCTGATTAAAAATTAAACATTTATGTCCATAACGCTACATCAAGAGACCTTCTAAGCATTTGGAACTATCCTTCAAATCGTGAACCGATGAACATCCCACTGAGATAATGATACGTTGTGAAATCAGTACTGCAACATGTGTTCTATACTGATCACCTTCAAGCTTATGTCAGCACACAGTAATACGGCAAGCACAGATTTTTTTTTTGACTGCAGACTTTTTCCAAAATTTTAAACACAAGCGAGTTCAAATTTCTTGACAGCTTAATAGCTTGAATGACATTGACAGTTCCACGTGTTCACAATATCCATCTATATGCATATTCATGTCCCTTTTAACAATCCCAAAGAGCATCTGACCTCTCCCATAAGGAATCCAGCCTCTCCAAAAGTGTCTCAGGACATATACAAAAGGGTAACTGACCTCTCTAAATAACTCAGGCGGATTTAGACATTCTCTGAAAATTTCAATGTCCATAGATTCTGTTTTGGCAATCCCATTAGTGAAAACTGGATCTGACTGAAGGCAGATGCACTTTTATAAATGCAGTTTCCTTCAGGAACCATTTTTATGCAAAATACAACTCCACCCCACAAATAAAACTGCTCAGTGCCAAGTTCAGCTGTGAGACTTTAGGAATTTGGACTCTGCCTCCATTTGGCTGAGCTGGAGAACATTCTGTTCAGGTCTAAGTTTGAAAAGGAGCTATTCTGTTCTGAGGAAATGCTGCACTGTCTGAAATATGATCCTTTTTGAGGCCTTTAATTGAGACACCATTCACACTCTTAGGCGAGTGCAAGAAACAAAATGGCACTATTTTGCAAACACCATGTCTTTTAACTTAAGTGCTTCTTAAAATTGTGGACGAAAGGAGAAGGAATTAATAAGAAAACAGAAAAATATGCATTTACTCCTACTTTTTGCCTTCTGTCTGCCGACCAATTCTCTATCTATGTCATTACATCACTCCCAATTCCGTGTACTTTAATTGTATATGTTAATCTCTTAGCGAAAGCCTTCTGAAAATCCAAGTAAACTACATCGACTGGCTTCCCTTATCAATGTTGCTAGCTACATTCTTGAAAAATCCCAGCAGATTTGACAATGTTGATTCCCCTTTCATGCTGACTGTGTCCGATCTTGTCACTGTTTTCCAAGTGTTTTGCTGTTCAATCATTTATAATGCACTCCAGAAATTTCCTTACTACTGATAGCAGGCTAGCAGATGTATAACTCCCTGTTTGCTCCCTAACTCCTTTTTAAATTGTATGGTTACGTTAGCCACCCTCCAATCCAAAGACACTGTTCTAGAGTCCCGAATTATGTCCATTCTCTATTTCTAAGGCTACTTCCTTAAATCCTTTGGGATGTAGATTATTCGGCCCTGGGATTTATCAGCCTTTAATTCCATCAGTTTTCCCAGTTCTCCAACATCATTTCCCTGTGAATACTGATTTCTTTCGGTTTCTCCTTTCACTAGACTCCGTGTCCATCACCATTTTTGGGATGTTATTTGTGAAGGCAGAACCAAGATATGTATTTAATTGTTTTGCCATATCTTTGTTCCCCATTATAACTTCCTGTGTCTCTGACTGCGTTGCATGTCTTCACTAATCTTTTTCTCTTCACTCCTGAGAAAATATGAAGTAATCGTAGAGATTCACTGGAATGGCCAACATTAACTGGACATCACGTGGGTGTAAGAGAATCAGGACTGATAAAACATCCTTATTGGTCGAGCCCATAAGAAAAAAGTCCTGAACCACTTGATTAAATCTAGTCAAAGCAGCTGGAGTTCTCAATTAACGTTAGCTCCAAAACCATAGGGATTAACTAGACTTTGTACAGATTGTAGAAAGGTAATTGTGGTTATGAAGACAGATTCATACCAAATTTCGCAGTTGGAAGGCTGCATCAATAGACTTGGCAGTGCCTTATTCCTTTCTAAGATTTATCTATTGAAAGAGTACTTGGCCATTTGGATCCAAAATTGGCTTAGCAACTGTTCCCCTTAGTTGAAGGGTCAACAATAAGAGGGCACTCTTTCAAGGTGAGGGGCAGGAGATTTAGAGAGGATTTCAGGGGGAAAAAAAAAATTCACCGAGCATAAGCAGGAATCTGGAATGCACTGCCTGGAAGGGTAGTTGAGGCAGGAAACCTCACAACCTTTAAAACTACACGGATGAGCTCTTGAAGTGTCATAATATTCAAGGTTATGGGAGGGTACTAGAAAGTGAGAGGTTTCATTTATTTTTAGCGTTACAGACTCGATGGGCTGAACTGCCTGTTCTGAAATGTATGTTTCCATGAAGTTATTCAGATATTATAACATGGAGAAAGATTTAGAGAGAGAAAAAAAATTATAATACAGAAGAAAATCATTCAAGTCTAATCTGTTCCTTCTGTTTTCAGAGTGGAAGAGAATTTATGAATGTGAAGGTAAGATCTTAATTCTACCACACAGAATCAAAAATAATTAATCAAATAACAGTTTATGAACAGCATCAAAAAAGTTGCCACTTCAAAAATAGTCTTTAATTAAAAACCCATCCCAAAGGGTGCTGCTTCAGTGCATCCAAACAAGTTATATTCCTTTTAATAACATTGGATTTCAAGATTTTGAATTGCTGTTTTGAAATCTGGTTCCACATTTGAGTTTGTTTTAATTCTCTTCCAAAAAGAATTAGTATCAATGGTAGAGCCATTGGACATGAACTTGTTCTGATGCAGTTTCACAACCCAGTTATAATTTAGAGGAAAGCACTGAAATTGAAAAGGTATTATTTATTCCTCTGCTTGATTTAGAAACTTTGAAAGAGAGAAGTGGCATGTTGGTACAAGATTTATTTTCTGATGGGGTCCAAGAGTCTGTGCCCTGGGGAATTTGTTTCTTTAACACCATCTGTTGCCTTTCCCAATATTTTGAAGCATGTTTTGATTCTTCACTTGTTTTGGTTCTTATGGATAGATTTTCATTCTGTTTTCCTGCTGTTGAAAATAAGTCAAATGGTGCAACTTGACCACTTTTCACACCTGTTTGCTCTCATCATCCAACTCTTACAGTCCATGAGCAATACCTTGATTCTTGAGTGAATTAAGTTAGAATGTTCAATATCATTCAAAGCAAATGGGCCACATTTTCATCAGAAGTGGGGACCTGACTTCCAGATGCATTCTGTGTCCTGACCATTCATGTCAACTGTAACTCTGACACAATATTCTTTTTAATGCCCTTGTTTGGCAGGACGTGAGCTCATTGCTGAATTAAAGGCGCCGAATACCTTCAAGAAGTAGAAGCTGCCTGCCTAGTGCCAATGGCAAGCATGATGAAACCTGCTGCTGCTTTGTCAAATAGAGCAGACTGCTCCTCACTGGGTCAGCTCTGTTAATGTGGAGGAAAGTGACTACTCAGGTCACATCAAGGTATAGCAGTCAACATGGCCCAAGTCTTTCCATGAAATATCAGTTCTTGGAGGATAAAAATAAACTTTCAGCTGTGTGCACAATACAATTGTTGGAGTCATACCTAACATACAGGAAAATGATTGTTATTGTTTGAGGTTAATCACCCCACCTCCGGGATATCATGACATGAGCTCTGCAGGGTAGTGTCCTTGCCCCAAACCATCCTTAGCTGTTTCCTGAATGAGCTTCTAGGATCATAAGGTTAAAGGTGGGAATGTTAGCTGATGATTACACAATCTTAAGTACAATTCTTGACATGGTAGATACTGAAGCAGTCAATGTACATATGCAACAGGACCTGGATAATATTCAGGCTTGGGCTGATAATGGCAATGAACTTTTTTTAAATTTTTGACCTATTTTTCTAATTACCCTGTTTAGACATGTTATTGCACACCTCTGGAGCAGGTGGGACTTGAACCCAGGCCTCCCAGTCCAGGAGTAGACACACTACCACTGAACCAAAATAGGGCCCTAAAGAAGGGAGGTTTTTCATCCCCAGCTGGTTTACACCACATAATTATCAAGCAATGACATTTCCCCTTCGATGTTCAATAGCATTAACATTGCTGATTCTTGACTTGGAAATATATTGCTGTTTCTTCAATGTCAAAATCCTAGAACTCCCTTTGTGACATTATGAGTGTCTTTACACACCAAGGATTGCAACAGTTCACTTCTCCAGGAAATTAGGAATAAATACTGGTCCAGCCAGAGATGCACTCAGCCAGTGAAAAAATAATAAAACCCAATGGTCAGAAAGCAAAATGTACCAGGCTGTTTGGTTTGCAGATTTTCTCTTTGAAAGTCCTGTTCTTGTCCTCTCCAACTTCTTGACAAGAGGCTCAAGGAGCGTAATGGGGTGAGAGTAAGCATGCAGGGGTTCCCCAGTCCTTCTCTCCCACCAGCACTTGAAATTTTGCATGCTGTCCTGGGAGTGTAAGGATGCTGTGATGACCTCTAGGTCTGTAGTTTTTAATTTGTATTTGTACCAGGTACCGATCCCACCAACGTCTAAAAAAATCTGCTAAAGTAAGGGTGCAAAATAAAATATGTCACGTGGTTTCCAAAGAAAATTTGCCATGAACAAATTGCATTCTATTATCATTAAATCAATTTGTAGTTTGACTAAGTTTTAGAAATTACCCAGGAAAGTTACAAGTGTTGCAGATTTACTGAAGCTCAGCAGATTTTGCACCTTCAAAGTAAAACTCCCTTCCATTTTCATTCCTGAATCTCTTCAACGTCATTCCATTTCTTTTTGTTTTTTCACCACCTCATTTATAATAAATATGGCATGGTGGTTCAGTGGTTAGCACTGCTGCCTCACAGCACCAGGGACCCGGGTTCAATTCCAGCCTTGCACAACTGTCTGTGTGGAGTTTGCACATTCTCCCCGTGTCTGTGTGGGTTTCCTCCGGGTGCTCCGGCTTCCTCCCACAGTCCAAAGATGTGCAGGTTAGTTGGATTGGCCATGCTAAATTGCCCATAGTGTTCAGGGATGTGTAGTTAGGTGGGTTAGACATGGGAAGTCAATGGATAGGGAAATGGGTCGGGGTGGGATGCTCTTCGGAGGGACAGTATGGACTTGTTGGTCTGAATGGCCTGCTTCCATGCTGCAGGGATTCTATGATACATGTTATGTCACTTGTCCTTTGCTCCAGTGAGATCACTGTGTATACCTCATCTAAATACCTACTCACCAAGATATTGGGCTGAATTTTACCAGAAATTAGCGAAGTGTCAATTTCATCAAGTTCATAGATTGTTTGTCTAGGTGAGGCCGAGGAAAATTTCTCTCACTATTTTCTGCAACTTCCAATCATAAATGTCTCAGAGGGCTGGAAGCAGAAGGTCAGCTTCCAAATGAAGCAAATGTCTCCCGTCCTTGGTCTGTCTGTTTTTTGCTTTCCTTTTCTCTGGCATTGAATTATTGGAATTCTCTCTCTTGCCTCTCATTCTGCATTGAAACTGTACTATCACCTCCTGTGAGCTTATCTTTAGCTGATTGCAGGAATTTTAACAACAGCAAAAGTTGTTCATTGACGAAGATTCTCTACCTCTCTTTTCACCTGCACCTGTTATGGACCACGCCAGACCCCTCAAAATATTTTAAGAAGGCAGCCTAGACCCTAACTTTTTCGCATTTTCAAGGTAAATGTAAAGTGGGTCCCCCAGATCTAATGCAACTGGTCAAACCACTCGGCTTTAAGCAAAACACAATTTATTTATATACTATTGTTAAAACACAAACAAAAGAAAGCAGAATTTAGAATAACAACTATTGGTAAACTCAATACAGTAAATTGACCAATTAATCGTACCAATATAGTAACATCCCATAAGTACATCCCTTGGCAATAAGGTATATTCAAACACAGATTCTTAAAGGCAGGAGGGAACCACATCCAGAGAGATTCAGGGCAAGTCAGTTAGGAATCATTTACTGAAGCTTGTGACCCTTCTGGACTTAAAACATCTTGCGACTGCTACAGCTAAAAAAACTAGAAAACTTGAACTGGCCACTCCCCTTCCATTGTTAAACTGTTTTTTTTAAAAAAGCCTTAAGGCACTTACACTATTGCTTCAGGCTGCATCCCGAGCCACTTTGGCACCTCTGACTTTGCATGCCTAAATTCAAAAGAACCCAGGACAGATAGCCTTTTTAAAGTGACAGCATCGTCACATACCCATCATGTGGGATTCTCTCCAAATCAAAGAATGCCTACAGTGTGAAGGCAGGCGATTTGGCCCATTGGGTCAACACCCCTCCTCCAAAGAGAATCCCAAACAGACCCACCTTCCTATCCTATCCTATCCCTGAAACCCTGCATTTCCCATGGCTAAACCACCTAACCTGCACATCTCAGGATACGATGGACAATTTAGCACAGCCAGTCCACCTAACCTGCAAATCTTTGGACAGTGGGAGGAAACTGGAGCACCCAGAGGGAACCCACTAGACACAGGGAGACGTACAAACTCCACACAGAAAGTCGTCCGAGGGTGGAATCGAACCTGGATCACTGGCACTGTGAGGCAGCAATGCCAACCACTGAGCCACTGTGCTGTCCCCAAACTCAAAATTCACTTTCCCTTTATTCTTACTCCCTCTCACCAAGAGCTCTTTGTTTGAATTCAAGTCAGTTTCTTCATGGATTATGTGTCCAGTACCTTTTCATTTAAACTATGTTTTTGTGCTTTTTCAGGCCATAACAACCAAATGTACTGTGAGATAGTAAGAACTGCCAATGCTGGAGTCAGAGATAACACAGTGTAGAGCTGGAGGAACATAGCTGGCCAGGCAGCATCAGAGGAGCAGGAAAGCTGACGATTCAGGTCAGGACCCTTCTTCAGAAATGGGTTCCCGACCCAAAACGTCAGCTTTCCTGCTCCTCTGATGCTGCCTGGACTGCTGTGTTCTTCCAGCTCAACACTGTGTTATCTGTTGCAATGGTACTGTGTTTTAGCAAGGCAAGGTCATTACTTAGGCAACCAGACATACATTAATTAAAGCAGAACGCGGTGAAGATAAGAGTGTACAGAAGCTGCGAGCTCCAGCTTTTTGCTATCTATCCTACGTGACTTGTCAGACTAGGGAAAGGCAGGATGAAGTTACAGCAATATGCACTGTCTCATAAAGCTAAAGTTTCTCAACTTCATGCTCCTAGTCATGTATTATTTTAACTCATTACTATTCAGCCTAAATTAAACAGTTTCAACAGACAATTATTCCACAAATCCCTCCTTTTTGATCCCCAGATCGACTTCACCAGTCTTCCTCTGCGAATGGAGGGTCGTATCCCAGGGAAAAAGGTCTCACACCCAAGCATTCCTTCTCATCATAATCAGGACTGTTGGATATGTAACGGGAAAACATGGGAGCAGGGCTTTGTCACCCCAGGGGGACATATTAGGCGGGTCGCGAGGATGCATACTACAGTTATAACAAGGATGATCCCACAGTGGGTCAGGGTGCCCCACCAAGATATATATGCAAGATAGCAGGAACCCATCCAGGAGGGGGACAGCCAGGCGTACGCTTTGTAGTCACATACAAATATCTGCCATTAAAGGGAATATAAACTCAGCGTACAAATTCTGCTGGAAGGTGCCAGAATGGTTGGATGATGTGAAGTGGAGGGGACTTCCAGAGTCGGACTCTCGAGGGAAGCACACATGGGAGATATTCAAGTTAGTCAGCCTCTGGAGAAGGATACCAGCCCCTGAGGGCATGACAGCAAACATTGCGGCAGTGCGCCACATCCCGGTGCAATTGTTAAAACTGTCATGGGAAACAGTATAATATTGGGAGCAACGGATATTACCCATGCGAGTACCCTTTTCTCGTATTGCTATTCTAGTGAGGCAAAGTGGGGCTGTGTGGTTGTTTTCAGTAGTTAGCGTAAAAAGAAAGGAGGTGACAGGGAGGAGGTGTTACGATAATCTGGCTGGTACCATCCCATGAAAGTGGTAAGGGCGTACCCCGTAGACTTCCACTGTTGCCTGTCTGTATTGGTGTTAACCACATAGCGACTAGCTTCAGTCTGCAAACCGTCCTGATTCCCGGGTAGTATGCTATTCTGTTTTAGTACCCACTCCACCACTTTGGAGGCATTAAAGGGGATTGGTCATTATGGGATTCCTCCTTTTGAATTAATCGGAACGTGGCCGCACACTCAGCCAGAGGAGACATTTAAACGCTTTACATATGTATAGCTTGAAGACAGAATTGAGTTGTGGGCACAGGCTTGTTCTATGTAGTCCAATGCGATACCCTACACAAATAGTCCATGTACTGTACTGTGGGTGGACCTGTAACGGTGGTTCCGGATCCCGGTTTACAATGTGTCCTGTGAATCCAGTCCGGTTTGCCTTGCACTTTGACAGCTGTGTGGGTCGTCAGTAATACTTGATAGGGTCCTTTCCACTTTTTTGTATTCATTAACGGGAGGAGGACATCGCTGGTGAGGCAGCATTTATTGCCCATTCCTAATTGCCCAGAGAGCAGTTCAGAGTCAACCACATTGCTGTGGGTCTG